GAAAGAAGGAATATTAGTAAGGAAACCAAGTCAGGAATAGGTTCCATGTTCTTGGAAGTCAGCCCTGGAGGTCCAGGGAGGTAGGGTACAACCAGGTCAAACAAAGTGCTGTTTAAAATACTGATAAAATTGTTGAAACTTGATGTTCAAGGTATCTTGAAGTAGCTGAAGTGAATAAGAAGAAAGCACTTAGAAATGTTTATCTGTGGAATGGAATAGAAGGCACAGGAATGACAGGCTAATTAACAGAAGCAGGAGAAGCGAGTTGCATAAAGTCAGGGTCCTCTGGTTAACAGGCAGCTGGAGTGAGTACTGGCTTCAGAGCGAGGAGGGGAGGGACCTAAGGGAACATCATTGAAGTCAAAGGGACGGGGGGCGGGGGGGCTCCAGACTGGAGGAGGGAGGCCAGCCAGACTTCTGAGTTTAGGCAGTGCTTTCAGGAAAGAAGATAAAGCTTCAGATTTAGAGAAAACTGAGTAGGACTAAATAGATAGTGCAAGGAAGAGGGAATTAGCAGATAAGGCAAGACCATCAGGAGCTTAGATCAACTGAAATATGTAGCGTGGTATTTTGTACATAGCAGTGATGTGGTAACTGGTGTGATTCAGTGACTTGATTGTTTTGGCTATGTGAAGGGAGCTGAGACCTGGACATAAGTGTATGTGTGTGGGTCTGTGGAGCTAGGGGGAGAAAACACTGTGAGAAGAGAAAGGAGGAAGGAGGAAAGGAAAAGGGAGGTGGGGCAGTTTTCTCAAGGAGACAAGGAAACTAAAGAGAGCACAAATCTCAAAGTATACAGTGTGAGTGGGCTTGACTTCAGCTCATGGGTGACAACAGGATCACAAAGTTCAAACAAACATCGTGGGTAGACTTCCAGTTTCCGTTAGAGACGTTAATCTTAGCATCGCTATTTTTTGTTTGTTTGTTTGCTTGTTTTACTTTATATCTCACTCCCAACTCAAAATGTAAAGTAAGTATTCTCAAGGTAGGGAGGTGTGATTAGAAGTTTTAGTTTGTCGCAACATGATATACATTGTCTAGTCACCGATTTCCTAATTTGATACATGAAGGGTTGGATTAGAGAATACACACACACACACACACACACACACACACACACAGAGAGAGAGAGAGAGAGAGAGAGAGAGAGAGAGAGAGAGAGAGAGAACTGCAACCCAGATAGTTCTGGAATCTCTTAGATTTGTTATTTAGGATCTTAAATGCCAATGTGCTTAGATATGACTGCAGTGTTTTTGGGAGCAATTTTTGCTTTTGCTGACTCCTATTTTCCACTGTAAAGTTAAGGACTAAAACACTAACTATTTCCAAACTTCCAGGCTATGCTACCTTCCCAGAAGAGTCTGTGTACACCACAATAACCCTGAACAGACTCTTCAAAGGTAAAAGATTTACAGAGAACAGAGCAGATCAGACAAATTCTCTGTTGTCTTCTTTACATAATTGTTTTGAATGAAAGCGCAGAATGATGATGGTTCAGGACTCCCAAGATCTGGCCATTGGATTAAAATGTACATGTAGAAAACATCTTATGAAAGTAGCCAGATTAAGGAAGTCACTCTAACTTAATCATCTGTGTAATCATCTCTTTTGTGAGTTTATACAACACAGTGATTAAAAATATTATATTGGCCGGGCGATGGTGGCGCACGCCTTTAATCCCAGCACTCGGGAGGCAGAGGCAGGCGGATCTCTGTGAGTTCGAGACCACCCTGGTCTACAGAGCTAGTTCCAGGACAGGCTCCAAAGCCACAGAGAAACCCTGTCTCGAAAAAACCAAAAAAAAAAAAAAAAAAAAAAAAAAAAAAAAAAAAAAAAAATATTATATTGATGTAAGTGGTTCTTTTATATCTGTGTTTTTCTTTGATTTGAAAATTGGATTATTGTCAAAATGTTTGTTTTGAAAGTGAATAAAGGTTGCCTACTCTTTGGGTCCTTGACTTGCAAATGGTTCAGTGGTATTTGGTGTGATACCACTTCCATTTAATTAAATTGCTCTGCTATGATGTGCCTCTAGCTCCAGGGAATAAGAGAACAATGGTTGACCTATGAATGATAGGTGACATAGGAGTTTCAGTCCTATAGTGGTGTCTCTGCTCTAGAGGTGGGGATGAATTACAGCACAAGACGAGGCAGTGACTTTCTAGGCATCTTAAAATGACCATTCACCATAACACAGGTGACCTACGTACATTTCAACCTCTGATCACCTTCCTTAAACTCTAGTCCTATCCTGTTTTCTTATTGGTTTTTCTTCAAGGGGCTTTATTCATTCTTCAATTCTAACAGTTCTGAAACAATCCATCGTTTTCTTTTCTCCTAATAGATTTCTTTTATTACCTTACCTAATTTTGTCACTGGGGCCTCTAGTCTTGCTTTTAGTCATCATTTGAACTCATGCCAATTTCCACTCCTGCTCACTGTCTTTGCTCATCCCTTTCATCCCAGCTTCCACATTGCAACTCAGGCCATACCAGCTCATATCTATGTTAGGACAGCAATCTCTCACTAGTCTCTGAATTGCCTTTAATCTAACTGTGAACCAATCCTGACTGCTGGATTAACTCACCCCAGGAGGCTCCTTTTTCACCTTAAATGTAGAGAATTTCTGTTTTTTCACCTTAAATGTAGAGAATTTCTGTTTCCCTTCCTGGTAAAATTTATGTGCCTTTTCTTGTCATCAAAGGCCCCTCATGATTGGTATAGACATCTTACCTATTTCTTCCTTAATTAAAATTCTTTGCTACTTCTTAATAAACACTTGCAATAAGGTCATTTCCTTAATCTTACTGTATTTAAATTTGCTGTAGACTTCATGGTCCAGCTAAAGGCTATCCTGTATAGAAAACTCCAGAATCATTCTATCTGTGACCAAAGCTTTTTGTTGTGACTGTCAATCACTCTCTATATAGTCCATACATCATCCATGGACTTAGAATATAGCTGTGTACTTAACAGGATTGCTCCTCATCTTCCCATCTCCAAAGAAACAAACATATTACAGCCTACTACTTATTTGCTGAGTACATTATTTTGTCATGTAAGAGTTCAAGATATCAGAGAATAATATTTTGACTGATCAAAATTTGTTTCAGAGTGTATACATCAATTACTCTGTTATTTTTTTCTCTCTTATAAATGAAAGCTTTATGTCTCAGTGTTCAGATGAGACTTTTTGGTATCAAACTATTTGACCCCTGAGTTACTGTCTGACAATTGCATGTGGGACAACAATATTTTAAAGAGACAAAGACAGGAGTCCTCTACATTGTTGTGTTTGCCTGTATAAGAACATTGGTCAGAGTTAAGGGTATGGCTTAGACCAGTGGTGGTCTAAAGTAACTCATTTAGTAAAATCTATTATTAGGTTTCTATTTTTGTTTTCATTATCACCTATAACCATTTGTTATTGTTTGAGCAATATTTACGTTTTGTTTAAAAATTTTATGTTCTATTGATAAGAAGTTAATGCATTTAATAGAATTGATACGTGTGCCATACACAGTCTTGGACAAGATTAGTTGTTTGGTTTGTTCTTTTCAACAGAAGCCATGCTTTGTCATGTTTCTGGCTCTCATAACCCTCTCTTCTTATCTAAGAGTGGTCACAGCTGTGCTCTGCATACCACAGGTGTTCCCTGTTCCCAAGGGTTCTGTTCTCTCACAACTTAAACCATGCATCTTTTATAAACAAGCTAACTGACTGGCACCCATGACTGAGAAGACCATTTGTTTACTGTGAGAATCCTGAAGGAGACAATATACATACTTGTATATCATACTGTTCAAATTCTTTTTCAAAAAAATACTTTACTTATACCATTATTTCTTATTTAAAAAATGAGAATTTCAAGAAAACAATGAATGGAAAATGAGAAAAAAATGACCATAGTTATTTTGGAACTTTAACTTAAATTAAAAGAAAATAGAGTATGAATTTCAGAGTGTGGGCTCATCCAAAGCTGTGGGTAATTAACAGGTTTGTTTTTTACCATTTTAGTAGATCATGGAGAATAGTGGAAAACATTATAGTCTAATGGGCATTTGTGCTTTCTCTCTTGATATTTGAACATAGCTAAGCTTCCAACTAGAGTTCCCTGAGTCCCAAGCTGTTGAGTCTTCAGTTTGACTTACAGATTCCAGAGCAAGCTCTGGATTGACTCATCAGAGAGCCTGTGCCATACAGAGCTTGAAAGGAAGCAAGTGGTCAGAGGGCTAGAAGTTGAATGACCTCCTCGTCCCAAACAGGAAATAAACTCAGAGGAATGTTAAAGTAACTTAATCAACTCTGTGGTCAGAACAAAAGAGTTCTCCACCAGAGCAGCCAATGGCATCTTCACAGTTGGCTCATAAACCCCAGAGTGCAATATGGTCAAAAATGTAGAAAACTTTTTTTTTTTGGTCCTTACCTAACATGTTAAAACACATCATATTCTGTTCAATTATATTTTTTTAAAAAAAGAAATCAGAGTTATAAGCTATAATTTCACTTTTTTTGATGTGATAGAAATGTGTGACAAGAATAAATAGAATCCATTAGAACTCCTAGAAGAAAAATCAGTTTCTAGTTGTACTTATTATATCTTTCTAATATCTTCTTTAGCTTCCCAGGTGCATTCTTCAAATCTTGAGTCCTGCCAGCCTTGGTGGGCCATTTCATTTCACTACTGTGCTTATGATATAAAAAGGAAAGAATGAATATTATAAAGTTAAACATGATTAAAAACACATTGTTTTAGTTAAGGGTTCATTCATTAAGGGTTGGACTGAAAAGTGACTTTATGAGCTGACTGACCTCCCTTTTGTACACAAGTGAGGCTGAAATAGAAGGGCTGCAATGGACAATCACTGCTGCTGGTGAAATGGAAGTTGTGTTTATGAGGGACGTATCGCCTGCTGGCCTCACCTGAGATTCGCTAACGACCTTTAGGCAGTCTCTCAAATTGTGAGCAAACTCTTTGCGTATAGTTATCCCTTATTATCATGAACAACATCTTCCAAGACCCTCAGCACACATCTGAAACCCCTGATAGTACGAATTCTGTAAATGAACCCTTCCTATCTTCGTCATGCCCGCCACGCAACGTGACGGCAGCTTTGGCAGGTGGAGGCGAGCAGCAAAGTAGCGTGACTTTCCCTCAGCGTATATCCTCGGTGCCTCAGCATTTGACTTCTTCTTTCTTTATTAAGTATAGAAGCTTTGTTGGAATCACTATTCTTACATTGGAGGCCATTATTAAGAAAAAAAGGCAGTTGATTGAACAAAAGCTGTGAGCTACCCCGGTGGTTGATCTGACAACAGGGAAAAGTTACAGGACTAGCTGGTGAGGTGCTGGTAGCACACGCGCTGCAGACCACTGGGTGGAAGGGTAGTTCACGCCTTAGGTGACTAACTTTGCATTTCACCACCATACTCAGAATGATGCAAATTCAAAATTTATAGACTTTATATCTGAACTTTCCCATTTAATATTTTGGGTTTGTAGTTGACAATAGGCAACTGAGACTACAGAAAGCAAAGTCATAGACAAGGAAGAATTGGTTGGAAACACATTTCTTTTAAATATGAGCACAAAATCAACTCAGTCTTGTCGAATGAACAAAATTGTCTTTTTTTCCTCTTCATTCATGATGGAGAACATCAGTTTTTATACACATATATAGTACTCCACTAATATGGTGGAGAAAGTGAAATTTGCTTTGGTCCAGGCCTCTTTGCGTTTATCCAATGGCTCTCCCTGGCTCTCATTTGAAACTCCAATACCAGCTTCTTCACCAAGTCCAGCCTCAAGGGGATGGAGAACAAAGCACTGAAATTATGTTACAATTTTGATGTATTGTGGTAGATGGAACAGAACGATAGATCAAGATCTGTTGGAAGACTCCATCTCAAGTCTTAAAGGTCGCACTCATAATTTTACATATGCATGTAGGTGTATTAAAGAGGTCCACAACTCATTTGCCCTGAACCTTGGACTCTTTGAAATCCTTTTTGCAGTCTCATGAATTCTAAGCCAATATGTTCTCTACATTGTACTTTATGCTTCATATTCTTTGTAAATACAAGCTTTGGCTTAGTTGGGAGGGGTGGGTGTGGGGGCAAACTTTAAGGCCAAGGTTCTTTGATGCTAGGAGCTATCCTTTAGAGATTGTACTCCACAGCACCTGCACAGAGGCTGGCTTAGTCCCTAAATATAGTAACTTCTTTCTTGACCCACTTAAAATTGATGCAAAGGAAAGAAGTTACTTTTGTAAGTACCCATTTTCTTGGAAACACAGTTAATTTTCAACCTTCCAGAAGCTTGTTCTACCACAAATCCGGCTCTCACAGCCTTGCCATGGGCTGCAGATAAGTTCCTTCTCATCTCTGATCTTGCGAGTTGCCTGTTGTTGAACAGGAGTTGTGAGGGAAAGAGTTTTGAGGTTACTGCTTCCTGTCTCCACACCTTTAGCTCATTTAGCTGCTAGGACAGGCTTTGAAAAGCAAAGCACTAAGTTCCTCATCAAAACAACCTGCCAGTTAGTGAAGGAAAACCAGCCAAAGCAGTATTTTACTGTGTTAAGCAAATGCAGTTGGGAGGGTATCAGTGTTTCTGGTAGGTGTAACCTCGACAAATTACCCACAAGAAGGAAAATAGATCAAGTGTTTACAAAGGGAAGGAAAGGTCATTCCTAGTATGATTTAAAAACAGCAAATCCTCAAACAGAAGCCAGTGTAAGAAAGCTGAGTGTATTCTAGTTTCTTCTAAGTTAGTGATCCTCAATCTTCCAAGTGCTGCAACCCTTTAATGCACTTCTTCAGATTTTGGTGATCCCCATCCATAAAATTATTTTGTTGCTATTTCATAACTGTAATTTTGCTACTGTTGTAAATTGTAATGTAAATATCTGATATGCAGGATATCTGATATGTGACCCCAAAAGGGTCACAACTCACAGGTTTAGAACTGCTATTTTAAGCCTAGGTATGTCTTGAATTTTAAGTATTCCCTTAAGTGGTTGGAAACACCACAGATTCCCAGATACCCAAACAAACAAATAAAACAACAACAACAACAACAACCAAAATCCATAGCCAAGCTGAACACTATCACTTGATTGGTTTGTCCAGAATCTTTGTACTCTACTGCTGTAGAGTGAGGGGTGTGTCTTCTCACACATGCTCCATTTTAAGGGAAATTAAAAGAAGCTAGCAATACTGTATGTTCTAGAAACCACAATGATCACATATTTAGGATAACTATGTGTCAATATCACTAGGATAACTGTAACCTCTCTTTAATACCAGGCATAAATTTATTTTATTTAGTGTGTCTCCAGAACAGATGTAGAGTTTGAAGTCCTGTCAGATAGCCTCTCACATGGACTTTTTAAATCATTGGAATAAATTAAAGTGAGACCAAATCCTAGAAAGAATATTAACTTTAAAAAAGAGGTTTCATCAGCTTGAATTTTATGCCAGGAAGCAGTTAGCCACATATTAGCATAAAACAAGAAATTACCTCAAATATAGTATCTCTCTTTAAGCATCAGCTAATTTAAAAATGTTAATATGTAAACATTAACAGATGAATTGCCCGCCTTTTTCATAGATGTTTTCAAACTCTTTTCCAACAAAATTCTGGCACAGCCACAAAATGAAGTATTTTCCCTTTCCTTGCTCAGTGGCAGGCTGTGTTACCAGAACAGTGGCGTGTAACAAACAGTCTTGACACAGGAGCCGTTGAGTTTCTGGTGAGAATGTTCTTGATTTTTAATCTGAGATCAAATGGGTTCAGAAGAAATCAGACAACCCCAACCACGCTGAGGCTTGAGCTCAGAGGCCCCATGACGGGAAGAAGAAAAAGCTACCTCTAGTTGTTATATTACTCCATGTGAAGAAAAACCGTTTCAGAGAATGACTGCTGCCTCTTCCTTCTGAAAGTTTCCACTCCGTGTCATGACCCCCAAGGCTGCAAACCTGTCTTCTTGATAGTCCAGATGTCCAAACTTTCTTTGGTTTTGGATCTGTCTATTCTGGTACTGCAATGAAGTAGAAAAAAATGGGTGAAGAAGAGGTGTGGGCAAAAAGGAAAAAAATAGATACTTTTTCCTTCATCTGTGAGGCTGAGGAAGTCATTTTAAAATCTTCCTTTTCTCTTTAACCAGACCTGAATCACTGTCAAGTTGTGTAAGCATTAGCCTGTAAACACTTCTCACCTCTGACCCAGAAGACAACTGAATCTTGGTTACTCTCCATACCTTCACTTTTGCACACTCCAAAGTACTACTTCCATTTTTGCTAAAGTGATCTCCATAAATGAAAACACTACACTCACCTCGCCTACTTTTCTGCTTCAAAGCCTTCACTAGGTCTCCATCACTGGCAGGAGAGGGACCAAGGTCTCTGATGAGGTGAGCAACGCTTGCTTTTCCACTCTTGTCTTTCCTAACCCTTGGTCAGAAAGAGTGGAGGTAGTTGTAATTCTCTCCAGAGTGTCATACTCGTTCTTAATTACTATTTTCCTTGCTGTTTTTTCTCTTTTTTCCTCCCCACTTCACCAACTTACTTTTAGTTTCAACGTGCACACACTTACCCCACCACCCCATCTTGAGGACACGTCTTATCAAGGCTAACTTTTTTACGTGAGAAACATTTGATAGTCAATGTGGGCATCATCATTTATCTCCCAGAACAGCAGTCTTCATGTGTACAGAATCTGCGATTGGTTCTTCAATTGCTCCCAGAACCTGTAGGTCTCTATCTACTGTGTCAAAATTAGTTATCGGTTCATACATTTTTCTTTCTTCCTAGACTGTGACCTGCCCAAGGAACTCATGTATGGGAAATCAGTTTTCTCTCTGATGTGTGAGTCTTGGGAAGATGTCACCTGCTGAATCAGGCAGGAATCACTAAATGAACACTGGAGTCTTTATTCTAGGACTTCTCCTTTCCCTTCTCGTTCCTCCCTCTCAACTCCTACACAGAAGCCCATAGTAGCATTGTTCACAAGAGTCAATGTTGACTATATTGACACAATATATTGTCTAGCCATAGAATAAAGTTCTGATACTTTCCTACAGCATGGATGAAACTTGATAATTGCTAACTGAAAGAAGCCATAAACAAAATGACACACATACTGTGATTCCATGCATATGAAATGGCCTGAATGGGCAAGTAGAGACAAGAAGTAAATGAGTGCTTGCCGAGGCTGAAAGACAGAATTATGGGAAGTGGCAGCCACTGAGCATCTTCTTCATGTAATGAAAGTACTTTACAGATAGTAGAGGGATGCTCACAACTCCTGGACTATTACTCTTTAAAAGGAGAACTTTACAAGTTTGTAAATTACACTTCAGTAAAGTTACTCCAAACACCAATACCAACACTAACCACATCTTAACTTATACAAAATATATCAAAATTTCTGGTAGTAAAAGGCATGGATATGGGTTTTCTTTTAAGGTTTTTGATGTATAGAAATACTGATAATTATACAACAAACAAGAAAGAAAACTCCATCTATGTTCATGAATTCAATTCCAGATTAAACAACAAATTTTATTTTAACAACTTCCAATTCTAGCTGGCTTTGGGGTACAAATAACTTTTTAAAAATTGTAAACAGTGGGCTTAAGATATTGCTCAACTGTGAAGGCTAGGCTCACAACAAAAAAATCATAAATAGGTAATTATTAGCTTGCCCCCAGCAAAAATTGATTTTATTTATATTAAATTTCTTTCACAGAAAAATAGCAATGTGTTTACTTCTAAATAACTGAAGTTATGTTTCAGAAAAAGGTTGTAGGGTCTTTGATCTGTGAAATTGATTCTCCATGCGTAAGGGGTCAGCTATCTATGTGGTATGGTTTTTGGTTTCAGTTCTGAATTTATTTAACATTTCTTCAATGACTGTAAATGAATATTCATGTTTCTAGACCTCATTCACCCCCCTTTGGCCACCCCCTCCCAAAGGAATATATAGGCATGGTGGCCCACACTTTTAATTCCAGCACTCAGGAAGCAGAGGTAGGTGAATCTGAGTTTCTATGCCAACCTGATCTGTGTAGTGAGTTCTAAGTCAGCCAGGGTTACAGAATGAGACCCTGTTTTTTTTTTTTTTGATGTTGTTTTGTTTTCTTTGTTTGTTTGCTTGCTTGTTTAGAAAAATGAATATAGAGCTAAAGACATTTGTAGGCACCTGTTGCCAAGCCTAATTTCTGATTAGAAGGAGAGAACCAACTCCTTCAAGTTGTCCTACACCCCCCACACAATATTTAAAATGAAATTATATTTTGTGAAATGGGAATACACTGGAAAATGGTATCAATGTGGTCTCCTCCCTAACAGAGTTGATAATGTGATTTCATTTAGTTTGCTTTTGAAGTGAGAAATTGAATGAGATAATATCTAGATCTTTGATTGTTTATTGCACAAAGGTAGAACTTCTCTTGATTTAAGACAACAAACAGGCAAGTTTCTTGGGAGCCTGTTCTCTGAATTTGCTATGGAAGAAAAATTAAAGGCAACACTTGAACTACAGATTTCTGCACCTCTTTATCCTACTCTTGGTTTGGTCAATAAGCAAAGTCAAAATGTTTTGAAAGTTTTAAATCCTTTATAGAAACCTGTCACATGATTGAAAACAAATTTATCTGGGCACCAGTGTCAGGTTTTCAGGCTGCTTCCAAGCATATCACTTAATCAGGAAGTCAACCTAAGGCCTGATTGACATCTTAGGAATCTCAATTTGATTAAAAAATTCCTAGTGCATAGCTCAGTGATGACAGAAGGGTCACATTTTGCCATGTTTCAGGTGGAAACATGCTCCGTTTTCCCTTTCACAAAAGGATGCCAACATAATCAAAATATAAACTGATCACTCCAAGAAAACATATCTTTATCTGTCAGGAGATTTTGTTGGAGATCTATTAAGTTGACTAATTCCTTTTGATTTCAGGACAAAAGAGAATTATTGTTCTTACATTGTAACTAAAAATTTTCCGTCCTCAGAAAACAAGATTTTGGTGAAACAGTCACCCATGCTTGTGGTGGATAACAATGACGTCACCCTCAGCTGCAGGTATTCTCACAACCTCCTCTTGAAGGAGTTCCGGGCATCACTGTACAAGGGAGTGAACAGTGATGTGGAAGTCTGTGTTGCGAATGGGAATCTCACCTCTCAGCTTCAGTTTCACTCAAATGTGGGGTTCACCTGTGATGGGAATTTGAACAATGAAACAGTGACATTCTACCTCCGGAATCTGCACGTCAATCAAACAGATATATACTTCTGCAGAGTTGAGGTCATGTACCCTCCTCCTTACCTAGACAATGAGAAGAGCAATGGAACAATTATTCATGTGAAAGGTAACTGTACTTGTGTTTGGCAATGCTGAAGTCAAGGTTGGGGTAAATGGTTAGGCCGGAACACTCACCAATGATCTGAGACTAAAGACAAATAATTTTTAAACCTGTTTTCCTTTTACTTTAGAAATAATTCCAGCTTATATTTTGAATGCCTGTGCCTTTCTCACTGACATTATGTGGAAGAATGAGGGAAGAAGTTACAGACCATGGGAATAGAACCTATAAGATAATTCTCAATTCAAGTAGGTCATGTCAGGAAAAAATTTGTCATTAAAATGCTAGCCTGGATTTTTTTTAATGCCTTTTGGCTAAGATCAAGTATAAAATTGAACACAGAGTCCTCTAAGAGGAAGCATAGCCTGATGGATCAGGACTCAGGAAGAATGGGTTGGATAACAAATTAATTGTTTTTTTTTTTTTGTGATCCATGTTCTTTCTCCATTAGCTTTCTTTCCATTTTCCAAAACATGGAAAGGATGCTGAATTAGAAATTTAGGGGATATTAAATTTGTAATCTTGGGTAAGTTAACCAACTATTTAATAGCCCCAAACTCAATATGATGAAGCAGTACTCATGAATCAGCAGCAATAAGTGTACTATGTCAATATTGAGATTATGTTCTATCTAGTCACTGGGGAGAAAAATAATAGGATTCTTAAACTTGAGATATGGGTATTGGCATTAACACATAAAACTGAGAGAGGCCAGGTAGATTATTGTGTATATGCCTATATCATAACTTTTCTTTTCCACAGAGTGATAAATAAGAAAACATGTTCCATTTTATATTCAATTCTAGCACAGTTGCAATAAATGCATTTTCTTTTAGGCCAGAACAAAACTGTCATTGAGAAAAATCAAATACTAAACAAGGAAAAAATATTATCTTAATATGGCAGAGTAGCTTTTGTGTTCTGTCAAAGATAGAAGCAATAATGAGAGAATTCAGATTTCTAATATCAATATTGCTCAAGCAAAATATTTGATTGGATTAAGTCAAAGGATAAAAACGATATGTCATTTTGGAAGCCAAGAACAAAACATTTCTTCCATATAAATGATATACTACTTAGGCTAGTATTTTGTGTGTATGTATACACATATACACATTTAGGAGAACTGGAAAAGATACTACTGATTATGTACTTATCAGCTTTCAACCTTTTTTGTATATTTGAAATGTAAGTAGGTAAACTAAAAAATACTTACACTCAACTTTGAGCTTCTGGCTTAATCAATATGGCTTGAGAAAGGTGAAATAGATAATGTTTTCAAATATTTTCAGATAATTCTAATGTGTAGCCAGGATTAAAACTTCATGGACTAGAGTATTGTTGGTATTCTTTTTATTTATATATTTTATATTACAACTTAATTATAAAGAATTTGTTAATAAAAATGCTTTTAAAGTCTGATTATTTCAATCAACTATGAAGTATTCTTCCTAGTTGTAATTTTCTGTGAGTTTCCCACTTCTTTCTGACACTAGAGATGTGATGTGTCTCGCTCAGCTTCAGGTAACCTGTTGGAGCTGGAGTCAGACATTTGTCTTTGTAATTTTTCCAGGCTGGGTGTCTGACTACCATGTTAAGCTGGTGGTTTTTCTTAGGGTTTAAAAACATTTATATCATTTTACTTATTTCAAAGATAGAGTTTAGTGTATAGATAAATTACCTTCTGATGGGGGTAAGGGGATGGGGTCAGGTTAAAGTCGTTGAACATTGCCATTTTGAACTGCACAATGTTCAACAAGATCCAGTGACTTCAGTGTCACCAGACTGCCACTCCAAAGCAATGGTTTCCAACCTCAGTGCTGTACGCTGCATGCTGAGATCAGAGGTGGGCTTGAATACGTTCCAAAATAGCAACACTAGAGCATCTATGCTGGTAATAGTTTGCATATTTTAGTACTTTCAAATTCTTCTCTGATGTTCAGGACAGAAATGTACTCAACTGCTGTTGCAGTGTTCTTTAATCTACTCTGTTATGTTTTTCAGAGAAACATCTTTGTCATGATCAGACAACACCTAGGCTGTTCTGGGCACTGGTCGGGGCTGCTGGAGTCCTGTTTTGTTATGGCTTGCTAGTGACAGTGGCTCTTTATATTATCTGGGTAAGAGAAGCAACATTGCTTTTATGTAACTTCTCTGCACATGCACTCTGACTATATTAAGAATCCTGCCTGCATATTTTCTACTGCAATGTTGAGATAGATGATTTTTTTTTTTAGACTGTTCAACTTTATGTGAAGTAATGATCTAATGTGAGTTCTGTTTTCTAGAAGACACTAAGTGGCCAGGAAGAATTAGAAACTAAATGGGGATATAAGAGTAGGAGATTAGAGGTAGTTAAATTTCTTATCCTTATTTTTGCAATATAATAATTGCATATAAAGCATACACATAAATGCAAACATAAAGTATAAAAATCTAAGCCTCATCAGAAAGTTAAGAAATGAAACCAATGAACAGCTTCAGCTCAGGGTCAAAAATCAGGAGAAAGTAGGCTGCCGAAATTGTGTATTCAAACCAGAAGGAAACAAATCTATTTATGTCAGTCCTATTTTCTGTCTCTTGTGAAGCAGTTGCAGTGTGTGAGGCCAAGTATGGCGCTGTCTTTATGAAAGCATAAAGGGAGGGAGACTGTTTGGAGCTCTCCCCACTGAATAGAGTTTATCAGCCTCTGCGGATGGTTCTGCAAGAAGGTTGGTATATATATATATATCCACCTTTCTCAATGTGGAATTTTTGATCCAAGCTTAAGAATTTTTTATTTGTTTCATTTTTCTGAGACAATAGCTCACTAGTGGCCCAAATTGGCCTCGACCTTGTTATGCAGTCCAGACTGGCCTTGTCTCAGCCTCTCAAGTGCTGGAATTATAGGTGTGTGCCACCGTGTCTGTCTTTTGAACATATTTCAAATTTTCAAATTTTATGTGTATGAGTGTGTGCCTGTTTGTGCATCACTTTTTGTGTGTGTATGGTGCCTATGGAAGCCACAAGAGGGTTATCAAATTTCCTGAAATTGGAGTTACAGGTGTTTGTTAGCTACCATGTGGGTGCTGGGAACTGAACCTGGGTCCTCTGGAAGAGAGGCCAGTGCTCTTAACCTCTGAGCCATCCTTCCCTCTCTCTTTTGAACACATTTTGATGAATACATTCACTGTTAGGAAGGAACAACCTTAGCAAGGATTATCTGAAGATTTTCTTTGAAACCTCTTTATGTACAAAGAACAGAATGGCTCGTGTATTGATTTCACATGATTCTGTATTTTTTCCCAGAATATACATGTAAGTAATTTCTTTGATAAGAAATATATGCTGTGTGCAAGAGGAAAGGGCTATTTCTCTTGTTATTCTCAACCCATCTGCTATTAAGAACACTTAGGATTTAATGAATGCTTATTCTGTCACTAAATTGTGAAGGCCTACAGTTTTGTATCCATTCCATCCTTTTTTTATTATTTATTTATTTATTAAAGATTTCTGTCTCCTCCCTGCCACTGCCTCGCATTTCCCTTTCCCTCCCCCAATCAACTCCCCCTCCCTCATCAGCCCGAAGAGCAATCAGGGTTCCCTGCCCTGTGGGGAGTCCAAGGACCTCCCACCTCCATCCAGGTCTAGTAAGGTGAGCATCCAAACAGCCTAGGCTCCCACAAAGCCAGTACGTGCAGTAGGATCAAAACCCAGTGCCATTGTTCTTGACTTCTCAGTAGTCCTCATTGTTTGCTATGTTCAGCGAGTCCGGTTTTATCCCATGCCTTTTCATTCCATCTTGATTAAAGGTCAGAGAGTTCAAACCTATTCTTTCTCCTCAAGGATGGACAGCAGAATGTTTGACCAAAGGTGTGGCTACTGGATGCTTTGCCCCTCAAAAGTCAGACAACGGGATGTTTGACTTAGGGTGAGGTTACTGGGTGTTTTGAGATATAAGGAAGTTATTATGCTTGTTTATTCTTTGTATCATGGGAGTCTTGTGCCTTCCCCTTTTGATTGGGGCATAGAAGGACTGTGAGCAATGAACTCATGACTTTTTGTATTTACTGGAAGCCTCCCAACTCTATCTTCTGTCTCTTTTCTATTTCTTTCCTCAACCTGCACTCCCCTTATCAGGAACGTATGGCCAAGTTGGGCTGGACCTGATACTAAATAGGCAACCCTCATAGAAACCAAATAAAGACCTAAATAAGCCTGCTTGAAATATGATACCCATTTCAAGGCATTATATATATACATATATGTATATATATTTATATATATTATTATATATATTTAATTGAGCAATGTACAGTCAGGGACTTCTGGAAGTCAGGCCCTGTAATGTTATCTTACTTTTACTATATTGTTGGAATGGGGACAGGACAACCTTAGTTTTAAGTCACCAAGTTCTATAATCCAGTCTTCGGTTTAAATTATTTTCATATCTAGTATTCATCACATATTTCTGTATTCACAAGACCACAGAGAACAGATGGATCTTTGTCAGGCTACCTTTTGACTGATCTATAACTTCTACACAGTAAGGGAACATAGTGTTTGAGAACTCTTTCTACTGTCTTTGGAATCTGCCTAGTTTGGCTTCTATAAGTTGTTTAATTATGATATGAATTACAGGAAAATATTGTTCAAGTCCTACCTCTGGTATTTGTTTAGAAGTTTCTCCCTTCTGGAGTTCTGAATGTGCATTCCTTGTTATCTTGTAGCTCTACGGTGGTTGCCAATGATTTTAGAATCCTAAGGTTTGGCTTGGTTTTACTAATTCTCAACCCCTGACTTTCTTGCTTGTTGTGTGGCTTTCAAAGTCTCTGAGAACTTCAATTTTCTAATTTGAAGGCCGGGTGCAGTGGCCCTATGGGTACTCTTCCAGGAAAGGGGTTCCCTTGTTGTATGTTGACCTAGGTCAAAGGAGTTTACTAGCTTCGTGGGCAGTAGTTTTGGGAACTGCTTTAGCTCTCAGTGGTCTCACAGGAACCACTTTAAAACTGATGGTAAATATGCATTAGAAACCAGCTCCTAAAATGAGACACTAAGTTACTGAGTAACTAGAATCATCAAAATAACAAAAGAAGCTTCTCACTTTCAATGAGTTAAAACAACTCACATTTCCAAACAGACATCAGAAATGTTTTGAGTTTTTCTCTGGCAGTCCCATAATTCCTTGTAAGTTTCATTTCTGCCTTGAGAGAGATGTTTTTGGCTTATCTCACAAGGTCACTGTGACTTGGATAGTCTTAGTGCTTGAAGTGTCTTGTCATCTGTGGCTTTTGGGAGTCAACCCAGGTTGTCTAATAAGAACATCACTTATTTGGACCTCAAACCCAGGTCTTTGTACTCTCTGACCAAATAGAGCATGTAAAAATAATGTACATTTCACAGAACAATGTAACAATTTTACCTTGGGTTCATCTTTCTCTCTTTCTACTGTTTGATCAATAAGAATCTTAGTAAGCTTAACCACTTTCTGCAATCCTATTTTGGCTGCTCAGTAGTGTGTCTTGGTAGGTGTCAACTGTTTCCCAGAGCTTCCTGAGAGCCCATGACATGCTCCTAGGCTGTATGGGTTCCTAGGAGCAGCTTCAGTTTGTCTCTGTACTTGACCTGCTGTGAGCATTTGAGTAAAGAAAACGCTTCTCAGGCTGCCGCCTGTCGCTCTCAGTTCTGGATTCCCTCTGAGGAGCTGTCAAACTTCTTTCCCTTCTTAAGCTTAGAGGAAGGTTATGTTTGTTTGGTTGTTTTTAGCATGCTCTTTGGCAGCGTGTACTACAATGAGTGGATAATGTGTGTTTAGGGTTGGAATCTACTACATTTGTGACCATTTGAGTACATGGTTTCTGTATGTCCTGTTTGTTGCTGCCTTGTCTAGGAAACAAGTGGGTAGAGTTGTAAGAAAGGGCAAAGGTGGAGTGGCACCCATGTGCAGACACAGGAGGTGGGTACTCTACACACACACACACATTGTGGGTGCACATGAGCACTGTAGCTTCCAGATTGAGTTCCCATTCATTTCTAGTTTAGAGTCAGGATGATACAAACAAAACCCTCTATCTGATAATGGTTTTGTGGTAAGCATGGGAATTGATTGTAACAGGTTTTCTTTATCTTTGTGTGTAACTTGGAGGTCTTCAGTCATGGCACCTCTCTCATTGAGTTCTTTCTTTAAGTTATAGTTTCACTAGATTATCCAGTGGCAAGGATTAGCGTTTGGGGGTCGGTAAGGAAACCCTAAAGGTTAACATCAGTGCTGAGATGCTTACCTGAGTAGCATCAGTGCATTCTTTGCTTACCCAAAGCCTCTGGGTGTAGAAAGAAAGCCAAGGCTATCGTCACTCTCTCATTTATCTGTTTGGGAAAGCTTGTTACTCATACTTAGTGCATAGGACCTATGTGTTTAGAAATAGGCATTCTTTTTTTTCATAGTAGAAAATCTATAATAGAATTCCATAATAGACAATCCACATGGCTTTCTGCTTTTGTTGCAAAGCCTGGGGAATAGTGGTGGGTGACATTATTGCCTCTGAAGAATACACACACACACACACACACACACACACACGGAATAGGAACATAGTGTTCAGAACTAGAAAACCTCATTCATTTGGTCTCTGCTGACATAAATTTATAATTATTATTTCAGATCCTGAAAGGAATGAAAGATTTTTCTGGTTAATTATGGAAAAACAACTTACTTAATGAATGATTAAAATAAAAATGCTTAACTTATCCAGAAAGGAAGGGCATTTAAATATCAATGATATTTAATTGTCACCACTGTTCCCCAGGCTTAGCAACATCTGGTTGAAATTTTACCAGGATCAGAGAAAAAGGAATGACCCTGAACCTGGAGTTTACTTACTTCAAATCTTGACCAAGTTTTTGACTGGGCATCAAAAGCATCATTGCTAGATCAATGCGATGGTAATATGTTCTTAAGTATGCTCTTGGACTTTTGATTAGGTGACAATGTTGTGAGTAAATGGGCCCATTTCTATAAATCAGCTTCCTCTATATTTTTAGTAGACTGGCAGCCAGCTTTTGCTTAATCTCTATCACAATCCAATGCTAATTCTTAGGGTCATTTGGCAGCTGCTGTTCTGAATAACTAACCCTAAAGTCTTAGGACCTCTCCCATAATAGCTCCTCTAAGTCCTTCCGTATTGACTTCTTTCCTCTGCAGACAAATAGCAGAAGGAACAGACTCCTTCAGAGTGACTACATGAACATGACACCCCGGAGACTCGGGCCCACACGCAAGCATTACCAGCCCTATGCTCCAGCGAGAGACTTCGCAGCCTACCGTCCCTGACAGGGACCCCTATCCAGAAGCCAGCCGGCTGGTGCCCCTCCACCTGCTCAACACCACTGCTCTGGATAGGAAAGGACTGTCTCATCTTCAGCCGGCCACTTTGGACCTCTCCTGGGTCACCTTTGCTAATTGTTTTGGAGTGTCTAGATCCAACAACACCAACATCTGGAGACTCTGGAATGAATTCAAAGAAACTTTTATGGCAGGTTAAATTCTGCATGCCTTGACCCATATTCAAGCTTAGTATATTTATTGACTTGATTGAAAAGTTAGAGTAGAGAAAACAAAAAAGCAAGAGGATTCATTCAGCTGTGGAAGTCCATTTTTTCAGGCTGCATTGAGCCTGGTTCGTGTCTCACTCACTGGCTCATTTCAGTCATGTGAAGTGTGACAGCTCAAGATGTCTTAGATGGAGTAGAAAGGCCAGAGCAGCCTTCTGTTAGCTAAGCTGGTGTTTAATGTGGGGAAAGGGTACAGTTACAGAGCATAGACTGAAGTATTTGAAAATAACTAAAACACTGTTTCCCACCCACAAAATGAGCCACTTAGTTCCATCTTTAGTGTTTTTCTGTTAGTTTAGGAAGATGTAGACACATATTTAATGAATTCTGACCACTTTTAATCACTTTGACCAGTGGAATGCCCTCAAAGCACCCCCAGGGTTTGCTTTTCTCATTCCTTGTCATGGGAATTCAGTATTATTAATAGTCACAAGATGATTTCAAAACTAAACAGCCCTCCCACATCAGGAAGCGTGTGAGAGGAAATAAGGTCACTATATATATCCTGAATGCTGTGGAGGATTATCTGTTTAGTAGCTTGTTCCAGGCAAACCATTTAAACCATGGTTTCCTTGTTGTCTTTGTTGGGACCTGAAGTGGAGTACTGAAATTGCATCTAAAGAGTGCTAGTCATGATACTGTGAAAAGGGGATATTAGCATTTAGTAGGCAGTAAGGATGAGTTCCAGGGAGCTTCCTCTGAGGAAGGGGATGAGGAAACTCTTGGTATGTACTCAAGAGATGGATGTTTTCAAGACTGCATCTTAGAGAGCCCTGCTATGTGTTCCTTTAGACTTAAAAGTTTAGAGGCAATGTATTTGCGCCAGGGCTCAGAACTGCAGAATTTTGTGAGCCCAGCTGCTTTGTACCCTGTGGATTCATTGACATGAAAAATCATTCTGGACTGTGTCTTTAGGGACATCAAAGTTCTCATGAGCATCTACAAACATTTTTTTTCTTTGCTTCCAGTTTGGGTCAACTGGAAAACATCTATGGACCTTAAAGAATGAGTCTATAGCCATCTTTGCATTTGTTTAATGCTTTGAATTATTCAGAGGTTTTAGAGCCCAGTAGGCCTGGTAAAAATCTCTTTACTAGTTGAATGGCCTCAGGCAAATTACTGTTCATCTAAGACTACGATTCCTCAACTGTAAAATGAACATAATGAAACTTGCTGTGATCCTCCTGCCTCTACCTCCCAAGTGTTGGGATTTCAGGGGCCCACAATCATGCCCATCTTGTAATATAAATTTATACCCAAACTCATGAGGATCTCTCAGCTTCAATAATTTTCTAGCCAATTAGAATAGATTCTCTTGCAATCAAACATAAGGCATTTCCCCCTACTGCTGTCTTTGTATATAAAGAAGTCTTTAAACATTATTTTTGAATATGAGGAGGAGGAAGGGATAGGAATCTTTTCATTCTAGACAAATGACATTGTGCTCTGATAGATTTTTTTTTTTTAAGTTGGCTTCCACTCTGTGCCTTTAGTTAAGCCAGCAAAGGCCAAGATCAGCCTGACTTGTGTGATGAAAGACTGCTGGCTTGCCCCTGGCGCTTGTGATCACAGCCAGCCTTTGACATGTGGCTTTCTTGAATCAAAGTTACAAAATTATATTTGAAGATGACATCACTGGAGAGTTTTTAGAAAGGGCAAGAGCAAATAACAAACACTTTTTTAATGGAAAGATTTAATCTTTGGTAATCAATAACTTTATTTTCTTACTGGAAAAGGACTGAAGGTGAATCATACCCAAGATTTCTCATAACTCTCTGAAAAGAACCAAAGTACAGGAGTCATCGATGTTTCACTATTGAAATGAACCAACAAATGGTTTAAAAACACTGGTTTAGAGTAATGCTTTTTGCCATTTTGGATGTAGTGTTTATGAGGAAAACTGTGTCATTTGCTGCTATTATTGCAAGAGTCTTGAAATTAAAGGTGTGCCTATAATTTTTAATTGTGAGGTCACCTGTTTGGGATTGAGCATGCCAATTTAAAGAGGCCCGGTGTACCTTATATCTGCATCCAATGATAAAATAACCACACTAACATGTGCCTGTTTTTAATCTCGTGCTTTAATGTTGTCCCCAGGATGGTTATGCAATGAATCTGGAGATATTTTGCTATTTGAAAGAGTGTATCATAAATCTTTTTACATCTCTTTATTCTTTCTCTCTCTCTGTCTCTCTCTCTCTGTGTCTCTCTCTCTCTCTCTCTGTCTCTCTCTCATCTCCTCCTCAACTCTATCTCTATCAAGATTTTCAAATATTGGTTTCTGTTGGAAAAAATGCAACTTGTGGTTTCTTGGCTTGGCTTCAAGGGGAGTGTGTCAACAGGCCAATGTTTTGACTCTTCGAGATGTCAGGCTGACTTTACTTGTGCTCTGTCTGCTGTGTCTGCCATGGGACACCTACAGCTTGACTGAGCCTTCAGACATTTAGTTCTTCAATCATTTAGCCAACTAACTGAGCCACTAATCTGCATGACTGTTTGAATGGGCACACTGAGGGTCAATTCGATGGCTGATCCCTCATCCCAGTCTCTGTACTGCACAAGGGAACTACAGTGGACTGTGTTCTCACCTAGAAATGTTAAATTCAACTACGTGAGCTGGATCTGAAACCACCATACTTACTTCCATTTAGCCACCACTAACCCAGGTCATACAAAATGGGGTGGATTCTTTCAGGACTGGGGGAAGGGAGTTTTTCCTATCCATAAAGTCAGTTGAAGCTTAAATCTTTCTTGCTATGATATGCCTATGCAAATATCAAAAGCTTGTTTCAATATCAGGGACTTTATATATACTGCATTCTCTGTCTAGGATGTTATTCCCTAGATATCTATTTGGTTTCCTCTTACTTCCTTACATATTAGCTTAAATGTTTCAACTTTCAACTGTAATTAATTACCCAATACATCCTGTTTTCTTGCCTTATTTTCCTCCATAACATGTTACCATCTCTTATACTAGATGTTTTTCTTATTCACTGGTCTATTGTTTCTTTTTCTAATCTAGACTGACTCTTCATAAAGAAAGAACTCCATTTTCTTTTTTCTTTTTTTGCTGTTTTCCCAGTGCTTAGAATAATGCTTAGTGTGCAATAAGTATTTATTGGCTGAATAAACGGATTTCCCATGGGCTTATGAATTAATGGTGACTCTAAATGATCTAATCACACTCTGAGAGGGAAAGAATCAATTCTATTTTCTGCTTCTTATTAGAAAAGTGAGAGGTAAAGCATATGCAAAAAAATCTGGTGGAATAACATCTAATTTATATAAGTTAATTTACAATTTAGAAATTTTTGTGTAATCTGAAAAAGTACAGTTATAATCATTCTAAAAATGGTATTCTAAACAAACCTATTAGGAGAAAGTTGATTTTCCATTTAAAATTTCCAAATTCTCTCTTAATAGATTGTTGATAATGTTTTATTTTCTTTTATCTTTACATTTTGAAATAAATGTTTATTTCATAGACAAATGTCAAGTGCAAATAAGGCTTTTGTATTTTATCTATTTTTGTAATATTTATTTATTTAATTTTAAATTTTATTTTACATTCCCACCACAATTTTCCATCACACTCCTCCTCCTGTCTCCCTTTATCTTCCCCCATTTCTCCCCTCATCCAGTCCTCCCAAGTGGTAAGGGCTCTCATGGGGAGTCAACAAAGTCTGGCTCATTAAGTTGGGGCAGGACCAAGCCTCTTCCTCCTGCATTAAGGCTGAACATAGCATTCCACCATAGGGATGGGGCTCTAAACTCGCTCATGCATGCACCAGGGATAGATACTTGTCCTACTGCCAAGGGCCCTTCAGACAATCCAAGTTTCATCACTGTCTCCTATATATGTAGTTCAGTACCATGGAGATTCCACAGCTGTTGGTCTAGAGTTCATTAGTTTCCACAAGCTTGGTTCAGCTGTCTCTGTAGATTTCTCTATCATGATCTTGACCTCCCTTGCTTATACCTCCCCTCCTCCCTCTCTTTGATTGAATTCCTGGAATTTGGCTTGTTGATTGGTTGTGAATCTCTGCATCTGGTTCCATCAGTTACTGGATGAAGGCTCTCTGATGATAGTTGGGGGTATTCATCAATATGATTACAGGGGAAGGCCAGTTCAGGCACCCTTTCTACTGTTGCTAGGAGTCTTAGCTGGGGTCATCCTTGTAGATTCTTGGGAATTTCCCTCGCACCAGGTTTCTCCCTAACCCCATAATGGCTCTCTATATCAAGATCTCTCTTACAAGCCAGGTGATGATGGCACACACCTTTAATCCCAGCACTTGGGAGGCAGAGGCAGGCAGATATCTGTGAATTCGAAGCCAGCTTAGTCTACAAGAGCTAGTTTCAGGACTGGCACCAAAGCTACAGAGAAACCTTGTCTCAAAAGGAAAGAAAATCTCTTTCACTACTCTCTCACTCTGTCCCTCTCTTCCCTCGACCATCCAGTGCCCTCATGTTCTCTCATGTTCTCATCTCTTCTCCTCTTTACCACTCCTCTCACCCCAGTTTACTCAGGGGATCTCATTTGATTCCCCTTCCAAGGGCAATCTATGTGTCCCCCTTAGGGTCTTCCTTGTTACCTAGCTTCTCTGGAGCTGTAGATTGTAGTCTGGTTATCCTTTGTTTTATGCCTAATATCCACTTAGGAGTGAGTACATACCATGTCTGTCTTTCTGAATCTGGGTTACCTCATTCAGGGTG